GTAATTTATGTATCATTTCCGTTTGCTTTGTTTGCTATTTTCCATTCGAGGCGCTTTTCCTCGACAGGCTGTGCAAACAGCAAGAAGAAATGCCACGGTGAAATAACAGCTGATTAAAGCAACAAGGGGGAAGTTTCATGACACTCCCTGTAGCAACTACGTTTTAATAGGCTCCTCCAAACACAAAAGGCTATTTTCTTTCGTTAGAAAGAACGTATTTCCATTTCTTGCTCGCATTTTTATTAACACAGTTCGGGGGAGTTTCATGTATTTTAGAAACACGTATTTCGAGTCTCATGAAATTGCTCCCTCATAAAATTTCGTGCAAAAGAAGCACATTTCAAGCAAACGAAAAGTACGAAGAAGTACCTGGCAACAACAAAGAGAACATCGTCGGCATACGTATCAAGCAGTGCATTTCGTTCAAATTCCAGCAATTCTATCTTATCCTCGTCCTTTCCTGTTTCGCTCTGTGCAGCAGTGGGGTTTGAAGCCTGGCTCGGGACACCACTGCTGCTGCTGCTGCCAGGACTGCACGCGAACACTGCTGCTTCTGTTGTTGCTACTGCAGCTGCTGCTACTTCTGTTGTCGCTACTGCAGCTGCTGCTTCATCGCAGGCCATCGGCTCATCTTTTATTTCATTCATTTCAACAGCATGACCTGTACTAGTGTGAAAATACATAAAATGCAAAACGAGTCGAAAAGAATAACATCCTTCAGATGCGCAACGTAACCCAAGAATTTAAGAAAAAGCTAACAAACAATGTACCAAATCGACAGATAAAGTCAGAATTGTCGGTTTAGAAAGAAAGAAGTTTCTTCTTTTCCAGTCGACCGCAATGAAAATATCTCAAAAATGTCATGAAAATTTTTGCAAAAAAAAAAAATGCACACAAATTCGCCCTCCTCCGATAAAACCTGGCTGACTGACAGCCTACGCAGCACTGATCAAATCAACAACAAAGCTGCCAGATAACGCGATCCAGGAACCACAAGTTGCTGGTCGTGGAACAAATCGGGAGGCTGATATCCCACTAGATTTAAACGACGAGTCGCAAAGGAGGCCCAGGATCGCTTTGCGACTATAAGCCCGCTGATGGGGATCCTGGCAACTGAAGCT